TCCAGATATCCCTCCAACAGTTAGGTAAGCTGACATTCGTTGATTGCCATTATAGTGACTTTTTTATAACTTTGCAGCAGCTTTTATTGCTACTCTAAAGTACACATATATGTTTGTTGGGTGTAATTCAAATAAAGTTTATGCTCATGTAGTATATTGTACTGTTTTTTTCTATCAAACAAATTGAATTATCGACAGTAAATACACTCATTTTGTTTTCATTTAGGTTTGTCACTAAAATACGTATGCACGGAGTAAATGAGAATACTGGTGAAGTAAGTTTATGCATATATCCATCAAGTTTGGTTTTCGTTTTAATTAAGAAAATATCTATTGTATTAACGAATATTCGTAGTCGAATGTAATAGCTCCTTGAAAACCTAATGTCTTTCATCCATATCTGTTATTAATTCAGCTACTAATAAAAGATTTTTGTCCTCAGAATGTTGATTTTCATAGAAAGGAACTTTGACTTAATGTACATACGTACCAGGTTTTACGTTACGACTGACTGACTGAACCTTGGCTTTTGTTAGCTTCGTAATCAAGCCCTACAAAACCACCACACAACATTGTCATTCGATATTGCCAACAAGCTTGTATCACCGAAATTCCCTATAGTACTTTGTCTTTCATCGCAAATGGTCATTTCACGAAATCCGTAGATTGAAATAATCATAACCTAAAAAATGTTTGAGTACTTATTAATTTCCTGTTTCTCTAATCTCTGTCTCTGACAATATGTAAGCTGTAAAAAGTTATCTCCTCTGTTCATAATAACCAATGCTGTTAGTTTCTGTATTTTAAAAGATAATCAAGATATTATGGCTCTAAGTATTGTTACGAAAATAACCAATCACAGAGTCATCAGGACAAATTTACTTAAGACTTGTGGAGTTACTAAGAAGCCCATTGCTACATGGATTAAGCGTTAATGATGTTGTCCACAACGACAATACAAACTTTGCTACTAAGCCACTTAACTCAGAGAATTCAGAAGCACCAAAATTACCCCATTTTCTTACCAATAAAAAGCCGAACACGTATAAGCATTATATGTGTGATCTTTGTCTCGTTAGTCGTTAAGGCGTATCAATTCTTATATTGCTGTCAAAGATTATGCTAACCTTAACGTAGCTACGGATCGGACATAATATAGTAAGAAGTTATTGATACTAGTTAATTCACATTTCATCTTTAAATTAGTGTGTATAATATGTTATTAAGGAGACGAGGTTTGGATTTGTGGTGAGCGCATTTTTTTCGAATTAACGAATGAGATATTGGTAGGTATAAGATACATAATTTTGCAGTGTTGTCAGGTGATAACAACTAACTAAAATGAATTGTTGAAACGGGCATTCGAATGAGCTAATAATTCAGGATAACATAGTAAATCTTATCTTAACAATTTTTTCCTGTTCGATCGTTAAATCGTGTACAGCTCATATAGTTCTGAATTCATTTTTTAAACAAATATGCGATCTATCGATATGTTGGATAGACACAAAATTACTTTCATAAAATCGAAAATACACGACAACCGGTTTCATATTTAGTAGTTATCTTTTAATTATAAGCCTGTTAAAACCGTAATATACATTCATATTCGTATCGACTTTTTAGGTTGATCCTCGAATGTTCTCTACTCTGTCTAACTGGACTCGTGGATACTGCATACGTCATGTGCTACTGGATGTCCGCAAGAAAATGTCTGCATCTGAAAATTCAAGACTTGCTCAGCCACCAGAAAATTCCACTTTCTGATTCATTTTCATCCGTTTGTTTGCTAGATTTTCTAATAGTAGACAAATGGATGATATTTCTAAAATTATCACTTTCCTTCCTAAGATCCTCATTTTGGTACAATGAAACTGTTCAAAATTCTCTCTATCGAGATCCCTGTATTGGTCTTTCCCTCAGCGGTCTTTATGTATCTATACTTGTCTGGCTTTTAAATACTAAATCTGTTGTGAAGTTTATTCTGTACTGTTGGATAGTTACGGTTGCAATATTTTTATACCAGTAGACAGTTTGTTGTTTTCTTTTCGAGTCCCGGATTAATCATAAACTTAGTCAAGGCATTTGATTTATTTATGCGATGCATATGAAAGCTATACTTTTCGCTTATACGGTGAAAATCTTGTTTTCAGTTATCGCTTTTTGCAGCTATCCGCCAACTTAAGATGGATCATCTACGGATTGTGTGATTTTCTGATTATCAGTCTAGACTCTTTAATAGTTTTGTATTCACAACGCTGGCTGTTTGATTTACATCTTTTCGTTGTGCTTTGATTTTTTATGATAAACAAGATAACGTTTTTTAACCCATGTGTTTCACTAATTGCTTAGTTAAATCCATTTCTTTGTACAAAATAATTAGTCAGGTTTTGCAGCTTCATGAAGCCATCCGTGGATGTTTTTTATCTTTTATATATATAACAGCTCACTTGTCAACTGGAAGTTGCAATAGTTCCCCCAGTTTTCGAAATTTCGACGTTAATGTGGTTACAAATGACTAGTCGCCCATCGTAACCAACATTTTCCCCTATGTGCGACTAATTTCATATCATGTTTGTCATCGATATTATGATGTTTACAATCTTATGAGTTTTGTAGACGATGGAGAGTACAGTGTATTTGTAATGCTTTCAAAAGTAACCCTTAGTTCTTGTCAAAGGTCACTAACGGTTTCGTTGAATACCATATATTTATACGATTAACAAGCTTAATGAATCAGATCGAAATGCTTATAGTGGTGGCAATTGCTAGATTTAACAGCCACTTTAGTTCTATTAACTGGTGACTAGGGAACATATTTACGCAGCGTTAACTTATCAAGTGGGTTTATTCAACTTCGTTCGCTTAAAAAATGTAAATGGCGAGTAGGGTACATCTGGGAATTCTATACGCTATTTATTGCATAACCTCGATAGTGATTCTCCATAACACTATACCGTTGCTTGTGCGTTCATATTTTCACCAAAGTGGCTTAACCTTCTTGTCTATTGTAGAATGACCAGCTGGTCTCTTCATGTAAGTATATCGTCAATATCTAGATGCAAGATTACACATCACGGCTCACTAGTTACGCCTTATATTCGCATCCCAAATTACTCGTTGCCTAAATATTCAGGTCGTGGTGTTCGTATGATCCAGGATCTCTTAATGGCATAGTTGTACTCAACCAAGTACTACGCATGTAAGTGGATGCTGAATTGTCTACTTTATTTGAATTTCAGTTATCTGGGAAGAGAGTGCTAATTTAGTCGGTAGTATATATTATAACCACTTGTATGTAAATATTAATGCTACTTATAAGTTCGTACTACTCTTCGACCAGTATATGTACTTGAGCATCCTTTGGTCGTGACTAAGATCTGGTCTATCTCTATATGCCGTAGATATTGCTCATCATCAGGACTATCATGATATATAACTTCACCTGGGATAGATAATATAATATATATGAATTATTACCTAGTTGTGCAATTTTTTAGGTATTCATCTATTTTTGTAATCCGTCAACAACTGCATCATTTGTGTACCACACTGTCCAGTCCCTACCACTTAGTTCACCACATTACATGATACCCGTTTCCTCTGATATGTCTATCCTGTTTCCCATCGTTTGCGTTATCACACCTGAACACCATGGGACGAGCGTCTCCACTGTCTTATCCAATAATTTCCAGATTCTTGAAAGGAGGTGCTATTAAAATGACGTACGCAATTATCTGCCTGCATGATTTTTCGGCAAAATGTCGAGTGAACTACTCACCCGAGGTGGTATCTAATTTCGTGTCAATAACACCGAGAAGAGGAACGGCGGATCACATTTGAGTTCCATGTAAATACTAGTTTGTTCTCAGAAATCAACAACATTTCAACAAGCACGTTACAAAAATGTTGGTCCTCTATTGTTTTATATCCCGCACAAGTTTAGTATTGATGACTAAATATACAGATCTAGAATCTAAATAGTGTAAAAAACCACGAAATTTTGAATATATGAGTCACTCAGCACGACGCAGTAATAGTTCTAGCGTGATACTCAAAAAGTTAAGGGAAAATGCTGCCACCACATAAGCTCATACTAAATTATATATCACTTCAGAAACTATTGCGACAACTCCCACCCACACAGCATATAAGAAACCATCTACATCGATGCAATTATAAGCTGGATTGCATTGAACGGACCTAAGCGAGACTGTGATTGCCACCCACACTGATCCCTATCGTTTTATAAGACATAGTATGACCTGCTTTCGACCGCCCACATCCCATTCCTGGTAGTCCAATCAAGTCCGGAAATTGGGATCCAGCTCTCAAACATGAAACTCCTTGAAGTTATTTACACACGAAGCTCCCGGTTACTGCTGAGCGAGTTATGCATTCGGCTTGAAACTAACAACAGATGAAGACAATGCTGACTGTGCAAACAAGGAAAAACCCTACTAACCTTCAAACCACGTGTGACAATCGAGCCGCAATATTGTGTACGGCAACTACCTTGTGGTAGATGTCCTGACTACGCTCTCATAGTGGCACCTAAAACACAAACGCCGGCCGTGACATTTACCAACAAATAGACATCTACATGTATTACTATTGTCTGCTTGTATTCGGACAAATAAATGGACGCCCATCCCGTAATAATTGCCGTAGAACACCAGATGCCTTTCACTATATAAAGGGATTGCGAGTACATAAACGACAACTTATACCTTCATTAATCTACGACCGCTTAGAAGGCACTTTACACTTTCGAATAGGCATCACTACGGATAGACCTTTACACTCCGAGCTCCATGTCTCAAATATAAAGAGATCCGACATACTAATAAGTCAGATCTTGATAGTGCGCTCTTATTAATGTCACGTTAGGCAAGTATTTAGACCATTACGAGATGAATTCATCTCGTAAGGATTCTTAAAAATCCTTACGCTTAACAGAAGACATCTTGATCCCCGTCTACGAGTATAAAACGAACAAGAAATTAAGTTAACATTTATTAGAATGAAAATTTAAGCTCTTTCCCCTCGAATGCGGCGAGCCAACTGGATATCTTTCGGCATAATTGTAACCCTTTTAGCATGAATCGCACAAAGGTTTGTATCTTCGAACAGACCAACTAGGTACGCCTCACTTGCTTCTTGAAGAGCACCAACTGCAGCGCTCTGAAAACGTAGGTCCGTCTTAAAATCCTGAGCGATTTCGCGCACTAGTCTTTGGAAGGGCAACTTTCGTATCAGCAACTCAGTGGACTTTTGATAACGACGGATTTCTCGCAAAGCAACAGTCCCTGGACGATAACGGTGAGGTTTTTTTACACCACCCGTTGATGGTGCAGACTTGCGTGCAGCTTTGGTTGCAAGTTGTTTTCTCGGTGCTTTGCCACCAGTTGACTTTCTTGCGGTTTGTTTCGTCCTAGCCATTTCTTCAAACCAAAACGCCAATCAAAATGGTGGGAGTCAAGTAGCCACTTAAACAACAGCAGCTGATTGATGCCTAAAGTGCCAAATCGATTAAAAACGCTTCATCATTGAAAAATTAATTTATTGTGTCTTCAGACGTCTACATGTATTTTACAGTACACTATTTTACTCAGAAATTCAATTTAATATACTTGGTATTCACTCCTTACACGAACTTTTACAAAGTAATGGAATTCATTCTTTTGGCAGAATCATCATTGTGTATTTTGGATAGTACTGTGTATTGTCCTGCTTCCTTTGCGAAAGTAATCCGCTAAGTGACGGTAGATAGAATTTATTTTTCAGTGTTCCACGAAAACGTTTCCAGAAATTAGAAGCTTGATAAGTATATATAACCATCTACTTCATCCTAATAGTAAGATCCACAATAACAAGTAATGAAGACGATCTGATGGTAAGACTTTCCTTAAAATAAGTAGCTTTCTAGGCGTTCAGAATTGGTGCTGTTCTTGCTATTTTTAATCGACAATAGCTATTTCAAGGCACTCAGTTTTAGTGGCTCGAGATCTGACTCCAATTAGATCGTACGAATGATTGTTATTGAATGGTTGCTGTCGAACTGTATATGTTGCCCATCCTCGTATATAATCATCAACTTAAATCGCGTTAGTCAATAACGGAATTAAATAAGTCAAATAACGAGAATGGAATTTTGAATACATATATTTTGTATGTGGAGCGAATGGGATAGAGCGAAGAGAAACGACGCGCAGTGGAGATGACGGGTAAGCTAACTCCATAAGAGCACACACATACGCGCTCATTTAAAAACAGTCAAGATTGATAAGCGGATAATTAACAAGATCAACATATGACTCAAGTAGAATGAATAGATTAGCCTGTCCGAAAACTAGAATAAGGTATATGGGCTTAACACCTCAACCGACACTACACGGTGACGCATTGTAGCTGATCAAACTGTCTGACTGTAATTTAGATTTTCAGACTCTTGTTCAGATGCTTGTGTTATTTCCAATTAATATCTGTTGCTCTCTTTATTAAATTTAAATACATTTTGTATGCCGTTTAGGTCGTCAACTCACTAGCTCTTTTGCTTCTCTCTTCCAGCCCTACTCACTTATGCTACTCTGCATGTGCCTCAAGTACACAAATTTCCGTCTGACTAAACGCGATCCACTACAAACATCAACACGAGATCACTACACGACTTGTCTAGAAAAGCTTCTTTCTTTCTAGCCACCTGAACTGAGAGTTTTACATTACGCTGGTTCTGCCTACATTCGGATACATCGTCGCTGGCACATATCCATTTCTTGCTCCCAGCTGTTTTTCATATGATATTTTTTGAGAGATACTTGGTTGTCAGTAGAGTCTGATTCCGTCCTACTCAGCATATTACTAATTTTACCCAGTTATTATTGTGTACAGTAATACCGAAAACTGTATTTCTTTTTTAGAATGCATTTTTTTCCTGTCATTTACAAGTGGCCCACGTTCACTTGTGGTGCGAGCATTCAGTAAGTTTGGAAACCGTCGGTCGGGGAATTGTCCATGTTAATTTGGACTCTTAAGCAACATTTTCATCTCAGATTTATGCGTTGATCGAAGACCTATACCTAAGGTAGTGAGACTACGTTCTATTGAACCGTCTTACTAGTGAAATGTACATCCGCTCGACAAGCATCTATTCATCCTATACTAATCAGTGGAAAGTAATCTGTTCACTAAAATTACAGTTGGTTAAAATGGTCGATGACCCCAATATTTACCATTACATATCTACTGAATACCAGGTTTTGTCATATCGACTGATCATTCTCAGAGCCTCAACCAAATATTCCTTTGATACTGATTGAGATATTACCACTAGGTAGTGTATTTATAATAAGGCGACCTAAAGATAACTTCATACAACCAGATTAAATGACTGAACTCCCTAGTTCTTTAGCAGTTTGGACTGAGAAGTCAGACACAGAATACGATAATGGTTATAATAAACAATATATGACAAATATCCAGAGTCCGCCTGTGTTTATATTTATTATTGTTACCACAGTTTATCTCCTGTCACATCCAAGGTATTTCCTTTACTGTTCCATATTTTCTAATTAAAAGCGCGAAATCTTGCTTTTCAATATCTCATATGAACTAATATTACAGATTTCTTTTATTTTTACTACGTGAGTATCACCCCAACCAACTGATAATTAGCAATGTTCCTCTACTTGTAGGCAATACTTTAATTGCATCTTTCCAAACTCAAACTGCCTGAACTTCTGTTCGATTATCCTGTTTTGATACATTGATGATCTATTCTAAGTTCTATTTGCAATACATATAATGCTGCTGGACTTAAGACCCTGAGCTCAATGTCTTCCCTTGACCCAGCGTCCAATGATATATTCTTTTCATCACTCCAGCTTACTGTCCACATACTGAGTAACGGAGAGGTTGAGGTTATAATACGTCATTTAGCCACTACAAGATCGCATTGAATTACCTTAATATTTCCGTCCCGGTCACTAGCTGTTCGCCCACTTGGCAGTTAAAACACTGTTGACGAGATAATCAAATAAAGAACACGCTGTTGATTTTTGTTTTTACTGCTTTTGAACTTCTTTGTTGTGAACTATGATTCCGAAGAAACATTACTGTGTATGGGCTATCAAGACATGTGTGTACTGTTGAATAAACACTGATCCTGCGTCTCTGACCGGCTCTTCCAATTTTATTGACTAATGAAAGATTATCTACGTTATCTTTTATTTTCGAGTTTCACCAAGTTCACGCCAGCAGCGATTTAGAGTTTTTGCTCTTTGGCTCCATTTTTCACACAGGGAAGAAACATATCCTACTTGTTTTACTTTTTACTGTTTGTTTCTTACTTTCTTTTTATTCGTCTGTCTTGCTTGCAAATAAAGCGTCAGTGTCCGCCCTTATGCTAACTGAAAAAGCACATAAGCGAACTGGTTTGGGTCTTTGTAGTGAAATTCTCACTGGTTTTGCAGAAGCACCCTATAACAAGCACGTCGGACAAAATGTAGGCTAGTGTGTAAATGATACTGTTTAAACACTAAAGACATAATGAGGTTAATCGACAGTCGTAAGTTAGAGTTATATAAAGCATTATCGGCCGAGTGGACAGATCGGAACCGCATTACCAAACGTTATTCTGATGCTCATACTGACTTAAAAAGTAGAGTTGTAAAGGTGGGTCGATAACTTTGGAAATAAATGTAAATTAGTGTGTGTGTCAAATATTTAATTTTCAGTTGATTCAGTGGTTTAATTTGAGACTACAGGATCTAGCCTGATATTTACAAATTGGAATCGGTTTGCCAATTAGAGGACTCTAGAAGACCACCGTACGTAAGGTTGGAGATACAAATCTACTAAAATATCCTATGTGGGTACGGGAAATCGTATATGACCTTGATGATAGGTAGCTACGAGCACATGCATATTTCAAGAGGAAAGTATTAAGTGACAGTATATGGTCATGGTCAGTGTACTCGACAAAATTCACAAAGCTTACATTTCAGATACTGTGAATTATCATCGTCTTAACAAAGTAACGCAATTATATGTATCCACACAGCTTGCTAGAAAGAACCTTGATTTACTGGGATCGCCTTCATTTCGAATCCGTTGTAAATCACCAACGTAGATGATCTATGTCGAAATGATTGGAGGCCTACTCGAGTTAGACGTGAATAGTGTGACGAACCAACTAACGTCGAAGTCACACCTCGTGGTCAGCACGTTACGTGGACTACCTCCATTGACGTAACAAGGTACTATAGATGTTTTGAAGACTGTACAACACAAAGGACGTTATTGCAGAAATATATTAGTTAAAGTAGATACAAGCGAAAGTAAGACCACTGCTGCATGGGCCAGTCCATGGCATACCATTAACTAATGCGCGTTGGTTGTACATGACCTTGGCAGGGAGCGACGATCTGTTCGACATTCAGTGATCCAACTGCCGGATGATTTGGCTAGGGCTCAGTGAAATTTCACTGGCTCTACACCGTCATCCAGTTCTTTATCGAAAGCACCCACTCAAAAAATTTTACGTAGCAATAATATAAGGGATATCAGGTACTAGGACAAGGTGTGCATACATGATTCACAATGTAAGCTGGTAACTTTATGTTGGCATGTCCCAAAAAGAAACCAAATAATTGATAGTCAAGGAAATCAATAAGTAAACCGTTTGCAGCACTACATATCCAACATCTAATATCCCTTTATCGTAATAATGCCACTGGGTTAGGTTTATTATATTCTACTGCATTATATGAATGCTTGTTTCACGTGACGAGTACTTTTTCTACGAATTTCAGTAAGCACCTAGTTTTAGTAAATCAGTGGACTTTGTAGGGTAAGTAGTATAAGACTAGATTCTAGATAATCAACCTTCCAAGATAAATACGCCTCGACCTCGTGAAATCTATCACCGGAAGCTTGGTGATTGGTAACAAGGTCAGGTCAACCAAGGTCAAATAAGGTCAAGTAGAAGGCAAATATTGAACAGCAATTATTAGTGACCTTACTTGGGGCAAGTTTAAACGTTAGGTCCTTTTGAAATGTGCCCGCCCTTTCGTTTCAACGACCTTGAACGGCTTGACTAGAGGCGGTCATTCCGTCTTTCAATTGCCGTGGGTTGGTTGGATTTCATGAGTATCAAGTTTTTTCATATATAAGTCATCTTATGCTACATAAAAAAGCACGAAATAAATACCAAAACCATTAATTTAGCGTCCTCTGTTTTGTAGTGTACACTTTGGCTCTGTTGCTGCTTTGTAATTTGATCTTTGATCCCAACAACTGTAGTAAAGCTCAACGAAATGTCAAGTCACAGGTAAATCCTAAGTATTTGTAGTATTTCCTTGGGTTATTATTGTTGCAAGGAATAATCTTTTAATAATTAGTCATTTCTGTTTTCAGTGCTTCATGCTCAAGTGACATTTCAGTCGACCTAACCGATGCCTTTCGAAGTATGATACTGAACAAGCGTTTCGTGTTGTGGGATGATTTTGAAAGCGCCTTAAA